TCACAAGCTGCCAGAGGGTAGGTTTAGGTTAGATATCAGGAGGCGCTACTTCACAGTCAGGGTGGCTAGGGTCTGGAACCAACTTCCAAGAGAAGTGGTGCTGGCTCCTACCCTGGGGGTTTTTAAGAGGAGGTTAGATGAACACCTTGTTGGGGTCGTTCGACCCCAGTACTCTTTCCTGCCATGGCAGGGGGTCGGACTAGATGATCTGCTCAGGTCCCTTCCAACCCTAGAAACTATGAAACTATGAAACCTTACAGATCATCAGGTCCAACAATCCTCTGCTACCAGGGGCTGGACCCAATGATCTGTAAGGTCTCTTCTAGCCCCTAACAACTATGAAACTATGAAAAGAGGCAGGTGACACTATTATTACCTCGCCCATGTGGACCTGGACATAACATATGACACAAGCGCTACAACATGGGAACAGAGGTGGCAATACTATCTGCTGTGCATTTTATTGTAAATCCACTGCTGATTTCGATGGATATTGCACGTTGGACCCCTCAGAGAGACCCAGGGCAATGCAATTGGAGACCTGGAGTAGAATTTTTTTTTAACTTAAATGTATCCATGTTCTAAGCCAAATTAGCCAAATCAAATTCCAAATCCGCGAGTCAGTCCAGAACCGTAAGTGGCCCTACTACCGGCTAACATCACCCGCACCTGGGGCTTCAGATGCTTCCAAATCCTTTGGCAGGCTTCCTACTCACAGGCCCAAGCCTGGAGGCTTGGGGTTCAGATGCCCCCAAGTTTTGCTTGCCCTTAGCCATAAGGCCCTCGGAGCAAGCTAGGGAGGAGACTCCCATTTCCATAAAGTGGGCTTAAAGCCGCTGCACCTTGGTGGGTACTGAACCACACCAGAAGAGCAGTTCTCCTGGGGTGCACCTTAGGAAAACTGCCTTCATGGACACAGATCCATGGGATTTCCCCCGGCAGGTTAAGAACAGGCACTACACTTGACCTGAGTCTTCAAGAGGCCGAGAAGCTTGGAGTAGAAAGATTTTGAAGCACTTGATTACATTAATTAAGCTGCTTCCCAACAACTTAGGAACTAGACCAGTGGCATCATTCACACATTACAAATGGGGGAAACAAAGGCAGACAGCGCTTACAGGCTGGATTTTCAGAGGTCCAAAATAATGCATCTCTCAAGGAACAGGAGCTGCAGGTGATCCGGGAATAAACATCAAGGGCCTGACTATCGTAGAAGTCCCATCGGAGGGATGGGGTAGAGCTGGCAACAGCAAACCCAGAAAGCCATGCTTCCCCATGCCAAAAACAGAGGACAATTTGCAATTCATCATTAGCTCAGTTTTCAGTGCTGCCTAATGGATGTCGACAAAGTTCGTTTACAAACGAGAATATTGCAGGCTCCGCATTCTTTAGACTGAAGATAAATGAAGACAAGGATCCACCCGTAGTTAACAACATGGACTGCATTAGAGAGGGTCAGGGTGGGAGGTTCCTCATCTATCCATCGCTTTAACCAACTGGGTAACAGCAATCTAGAATTTATTTCTCTTGCGGCTTCAGATTAATCAGTGCAGAGCAGCTCTTGTAAAATTCATGCTACAAGTCACAGTTGTAAGGAGAGCTGTGTGACACCCAGTTGTGTTTCCCCAACCTCTAATACAGCCTTGGAAGTACAGCACGCACCAAACCACACCACACCACTCCCCAGTACACCAGGTGGTGGAAACACAGACCCGGGAACAGGCAACTGGTTCTGGGTTTTCAGAAACTATTTCCCCTTGGAGTTTAGCTCTCATCATTACTGATTCAACAACTGTCCTGAGCTGACTGGCTTCCAGGTGTGTTTTTCCTTCATTAATAGAACTGAACTGCCTTCACTTAAGATGAATCCGGAGTCCCAATGCTTATCATTAGAAATGATGAACGTTGGGAATTATAGAGTAAAGCAGAACAGCACTAACAGCGCACACAGACACAACCCACACGTACTAAGGTGCCGAGTGACCCGTGAAAAATGAGCAGGCTGGTTCTCTAATACTTTTCCTCCCGATCTCTCAAATCCCTTAGACCAGGGGATGCTGCTATCCCAATCTGACGAGGGGAAACTGAGGCACAAAGCTGCCAAGCGACTTGCCCAGTCAGCGCTGCGATTCTAGCAGGCGCCTGCTGCTCCTCTGCCCTCACCACGAGACACAGGGGCTAGCGCCGGGGATGAGAAGATTTACCTTGGAGACGCCGTTCTCGTTCGCTTCGATCCTCTTCTTCATCTGCATCATTTGCCACATGTCGGCCACCGCGGACTCGTTCTGGGCGCCGCTCTTGGCCCTCTCCAGCAGGTCTAACCCGGAAGGGAGTTTCTCCAGGGCAGACAGCTGCTTCTCCAGCCCCTGAAGCTGGCCCACCACGTCTTGCACCTGAGCTTCTACCCCGACCACTTTCTTCTCCAGGTCAGCGTAGGGCGGTGCTGCCTCGCACGGTTGGCCCTTGTCCGGCGGAGGCGCAGGCTCCTCCTGCATCTCCGTTTGCAGGTCCTGCAGGTTGAGGTGCTTGATGATGGCATGGAGCAAGGTGTGGAGGGCGGTAAAATTGACGTGTCCGGTTTCCGGGGTCCCAATGGAGAGGTCGGCCAGTTCGGACAAGCTGATCTGCGCCATTGCCTGTCCCTGGCCTGCGTTGCCGCCTCACGGGAAGCGCAGAACCGGGGGTCTCGCGCAGGTGGACCGAGGGCTCGGACAAGGTGCCAGGCGCTGAGCTCCCCGCAGGTGGCTACAGCATTTGCGGACAGCCCTTTACCCAGCCCAGCTCCATGGAGCCCAGGGGATGCCCCTGCTCCCTCTATGCCCCGAGAGCCGGATCCTGCCCGCTACTGCCCCTGCCCACTGCCATGCCCCGCCAGAGCCACCCACTGGCACCGCCCCGCCATCCCATTGGTCCCACCGCGGACCCCCCCGCCGCCCGATTGGCCGCAGCGGCTGCCCATGTGCCTTTGTTTACATCACTGGGTGCCGATTGTGACAGCGCAGCGTTCGGCGTTGCTAGGCAGGGTCGAAGCACCGCCCCTCCCCAGGGCCTTCCGCGGCGCAATACGCTTCGAGAAGTAGTTCCTCCCCCGCATGGCAGCGCCGAGGGAGCTGCAACATCGAGCACT